CACGACTCAAACCTTTCGGTTCAGAGCTGAAAGCTTTCAACTGGTACCAGTAGTGAAGTTATTTCTTCGAAAAGGCGTTTGCAACTTTCTCTGCATGGGCACTTTCAGTCAGAGAGGTTTGAATTTCCGCAAATGAGAAATGGAACCACCCCAACATGTTCAGGTCAAAATCATTTTAAAATTCTTTCTGAAAGTTTAGCTAATTTTTACTAGCCAGTGAATTGATCAAAAATGACCTGTATTTCAAAAAATTTCTGATTTCTTACTTTGCACCAAAATCGCATTTAGGAAGCCGTTTACCACATTTAAGTTTGTTTAATTTCAAAAAAAAACGAAGAAAATGAAATTCGGCACTAAACTTCAGTCCTTTTCGCCCCTCTATTACTTATCTCTGTGGTGGTTGGAATGCACGAGATTATTTCATAATTCACCACATGAAGCGCTGTTTCACGCCCGGCTCATGGGGCCATTCGAATGGCTTTGCTAAAAATAAGTACAGTACAAAGACATTGACAATAGCCTCATAAAGTAATTCGAGTAGCAACACGGTCAGCGGTCGATCCACGTAGCTAAGACGCCAGATTACATAGGATGTGATAAAATACCGTGGCTCAACAAGATGCACCGGCACAACAACAGCCACTGTCCCCAAAATATACAGTAAAACAAGAAACCTCGGCCAGTGGGACACCGTATACCTAAAGAGTTGGAGGGATACGATATAGAGGGGCACGGTGAGATATCTACATAAGGGATGGCGCAAAAACCAGCGTCGCCAGATGTAAAATGTGAAGTGGCGATTGTCGGCCAGCAAGTACGGATGTTGCATGGTAAAGAAGAATACGCAGAAAATGAGTAAAACGGTCGAAATGAAATTTTTTCTTGGACTGAAAACCAATCGCCCCAATGATTGGAAAGTCTTCAAGTTTGAGCCAAGCAAAGGCGCGGCACTGAAGATGAAGAAAACAAAGAAATAGTGAATTTGCATAAAATGCGGCACCGGCCGATGAGCGGAGTGATCGCCGAGGACAATACTGCGATCGTTCAACACGTAAAATACAATGAATGCAATAGGCAACAGTAACAGCGACCAAAGACGCAATAAACTTGAAATCACTGCTTTTGCGGTAAATTTTCCCTCATTTTTTAGCAAAAGGAAAAAATGTACACAACCGTAAGCAGCTGCCCAGATAATGTTCGTCTGGCGAGTGCATAGCGACAATGCAAATATCAACGTGGGAAATAAACCGGGCGGTTGCGAAAGTGCCCAGAGGACAGTTGTCAGTGACAGCAAATCAGTATAATACAACAACGAGGAATGAAACAGAACCGGGAGCAGCAAGACAGCCAGTGAAACCAGCAACGATGATTCCGAGTTCTTCTGGAACAGGCGTCGAAACTGGCAGCAGCCAACGAAAGCAAATGGAATTAGGGCCGAATTAGCGTATCTCTCGTGTCCACAGAATAACGGCACCGATATCACATACAGTGCCGGTGGTGTGGTGATCTTCGGGTTCCATCTGCAGAAAAAAAAAAGAGGAACTTCAATGCAGTCATAATTTTTTCTGAATCTCGTGCAATCCCAATTCAGAATTTGCGCAGCGAAAAAGATAGACGACGTTTATTTTGAGTCAAAAATCGAAAAAAAAAATCAAAAAACATACGAGCAACAGATAAGCCCATTCTCGTTGGCGTAAAACTGCTTCAAAAGAAGGAAAAAAGTGCTTCAAAAGAAAAAAAAAACAAAAAAGAATCGAAAACTGACGTAAAATTGTGGGAGCAATAACGTCTTGTCTGATCCACGTGAAATATCTCATCCATATATGGTTCGGGCACAATTTTGTATATATAGCGCACAAGAAGAGAGTGTAACAGGCCTAGAATGGCACCAAAAAAC